ATCTCCCCATCTCTCCGACCTGCTTACCGCCCTACCCACTACCCCCTGCATGTCCCTTGTGTCCTCCGTTCCACCATCGTTGGCTGTGGTTTCAGCCGCTATGCCCCAAAACTCTGCCTTGTCCCTCCCTCCCTCCCTTCCCCATCTTCAGGTTGTGCCCGAAGACCGTCCATTTCGACTATGCCTACTGTCACCTCCCCCTCCCGCCGGCTCGGCCTTGTGTTCTGCCACTGTCGAGCGCTCTGGGACTCTACCGTGCATGAGGGGCGCGGTGTAAATTGTTGTTGTTGTGAAAGCCGCTTGTATCAGCTGTAAGGATTATTATCACTGCAATAACACATAATTCATTTTGTCCCCACAGCTCTCGCTTGTCCTGCGAACAGCCATTACAAGGTGTGTGCTGACACCTGTGGGTCTAACTGTGCAGGGCTCCTCGCTCCAGTGACCTGTAAGTTCAAGTGCACCGAGGGCTGTCAATGCGACTCTGGCTTCGTCTTCAGTGGTGAACAGTGCATTCCTATAGCTAAGTGCGGCTGCACATTCGAGGGCAGATACATCCAGGTAAATGCTCTGGGACGCTACCCTTCGTGAGGGGCGCTGTATAAATGCAAGTTGTTATTGTTGTAAACAGCTCAGCTATCTGTGGCAGGGTGAATGAAGCAGGTGAGCATCTATTTGAAGCATCGTGGAGCCCTGTCGGTTAGTGATTAGAACGCTCAATTCGCAAGGAAGCGAGAGGACCTGGGTTTGATTCCCGGGTGGGTCAGGGCGCAATGCTGGGCAAGCTTCCTTACCCACACGCGCACACGCCTCTGTTTACCAGCAGTAGGTAGGAACTCGCCTGTTAGTCGAATGGCGCATCGCATTTCCGGGGGTGATAATCCCCTCAAAATAAAAAAATTACACGGGGTGACCAAAATTCGTGATACCATTACAGTGTCTAACAAGTCCTAAAGAAATGATGATATTTTTGTGTGTTTTTAGATAATAGGGCACTTATCACGACTTTTTAGTCACCTGGTAATATAATAATAAAGGGGTCATTCCATCCTGTACATCACTGTGCGCAATTGGCTGCTGCGTTTGGCCCACAAAACACACAGTCACTACGCTTTGCAACGTATGCTGTGAAGCGGTTCGAGACGTCTTGAAGATGTGATAAGGCACTGTATCAAATGCAAGGATTCTTATTCATATTGAGTTGAGTCACGGATGTTGTTTTTACCCCCAGCTAGGGGAGACGGTGCTGACAGACGACTGTAAGGCAAAGTGTAGTTGCCAGGCCTCTGGGGTGGTGCATTGTCAGTCTGTGAGCTGCTCTACCAACGAAATCTGTGAGGTCAGGGATGGTGTGCGAAATTGCTTCAAGGATGGCACGTGCTCAATCAAGCAGGGGAAGCGCTTCACCACCTTCGACGGTTTATCCGGCGATGTACGATTGCCGGGCGTCTATGAGATAGCTTCGCTGTGTAACACGAGCTCCTCTGCCTGGTTCCGGGTGGTGGCGGATTTCCGAGTGTGCGACAGAAACGGGAACCCTGGTATCGCCACAACCTACATGTTCTTTCAAGATACCTTCATCGCAATTAATGCAAAAAAGCAGATCTGGGTAAGGCTCACAGCTAACAGTTGACAGTCCAAACAATTCCTTTGCAGCTTTGTGGTAAACTGTTTAAAAAGACAGATGTGTCCAATTGGCGGCAGTGTTTCGCCCACAAAACCACCAGTCACTTCACTTTACAGTGTACCCTGTGAAGTACTTTGAGATGTCTTGACGACGCGATAAGGCGCTGTATCAAATGCAAGGATGTACTCGCCTCGGGGTACAACGTAGATTCACTAGGTTGGTTCCTGGGATGAGGGGAATGAGTTATGAGGATAGGTTGAGCAATTTAGGCCTATATTCTCTAGAATATAGAAGAATGAGAGATGATCTTATAGAAACCTATAAGATTATTAAGGGGCGCGACAGAATAGGTAGTGGGAGATTTTTTCCCCCTGGTTGGAGAAGCTATAACCAGCGGTCACGGTGTTAAAATTAGGGGTAAGCCCTTTCGCGCTGAGTTGAGGAAGGAACTTCTTCACTCAGAGGGTAGTGAATTTATGGAATTCTCTACCCCCAAAGGTGCTCAGTCCTTGAACATATTCAAGACTGAGATTGATCGATTTCTTGTGGATAAAGGGATATGGGGATAAGGCGGGCGGGTGGAGTTAGAATAGATCAGCCATGATCTTATTGAATGGCGGGGCAGGGCTCGAGGGGCCGAATGGCCTACTCCTGCTCCTAGTTCTTATGTCCTTATGTCGGTAAATCTCCTTTGCTCTCTCGCCAGGTAAACGGACGTCCCTTGAAACGGAGTCAACTCCCATACAGCGCCAGCTCTACCGTGACCTTAAGGGTCAAGGCCAGTTATGTGGTTGCAGAACACTCTTCGAAGATCATGGTGTGGTTTGACGGGTCCCAGGAGCTGACGGTGACCTTAGTGGATGAGTACGCCGGTCGTCTGTGTGGCCCCTGCGGGAACTTCAACGGTAATTTGGATGACGAGCTGGTGCTCCCTGGCGGCGAGGCTGCCGGCAACGTTGTGCAGCTTGTCACACGGTGGCTGGCTGAAGATTTCTCAGTCTGGTGAGTTTTCATTCGCAATCGTGGGGTGGGGTTCGTTTCCCCAAGTGTAGCCACAACAAAATCTGTTCAGTCTCGTCCTGTCGCTCAGCAAACGAAAGGGCCTGGGGTTCGATTTCCAGCGGGACCGGCAATTTTCCTCACCCCCACGCGCGGACACCCTCGCGCACCTCTCTGCGTACCTCGCAGTGAGTAAGAACCCGCTTGTTTTGAGTCGATCGGCGGATCGCTTTTCCGGGGCTTTTCCAACCCCTCGAAAAAACAGGAAGAAGAATTTGGCCCCTCTCAATCCACGACCGTTTGCGGGACAGTTTTCGCCCGCAAACAGACGGCCGTGAGGTCAGCTCACTTGACAGGCGTGTTCCGCGAAGCGCTTTGAGGCGTCTGGAAGACGCGAAAAGCGCCGCATCAAATGCAAGGATTGTTATCATTATAAATCATCATTATTAATTCATTGACTGCCACCTTTTTTGCCCATAAAATACAGTCACTACCCTTTACGGTATATCCTGTGAGAGGCGCTCTGAGATATCTCAATGACGTGATGAGGAGCTGTATCAAACGCCCGGATTATTATTTAAACGCAACTGCCTTTTTTTTTCTTTCTTACCTTCTCAGCACCGACTGAAAGACATCGATGGGAACGTCCGACAGCCAGAAGCCAAATCCAAGATCGTCGCGAACCAACGCAACTTCTCTCTTCCGCAGAATCAATCGTTTACTTACTTTCCTTCATCCCTTCCTCCATTCCTCCCATGTCACCGCGATGGTCAAACGCAACCAAGGTTACGGGACGCTTTTTGTTTTTTTTTTTGCGCGCGCGTGTGTGTGTGTGTGTGACGCGTAAAAAAAAAAAAGCTAATAAAATTTCCATCCTTTACGGCGCTTAATAAACGCGGCTGTTGACCTCTTTTTCTTTCAAGACTGCGAGCTCGCGCCTCCTTCTCTCGCGCGCGCGCGCGCACAGGCGCACACACACAGTCACTCACGCACACACAGTCACACATACACAGTCTCACACACACACACAGTCACACATACACAGTCACACACACACACACACAGTCACACACAGTCACACATAACACTCGGAAATCCGCCACCACCCGGAACCAGGCAGAGGAGCTCGTGTTACACAGCGAAGCTATCTCATAGACGCCCGGCAATCGTACATCGCCGGATAAACCGTCGAAGGTGGTGAAGCGCTTCCCCTGCTTGATTGAGCACGTGCCATCCTTGAAGCAATTTCGCACACCATCCCTGACCTCACAGATTTCGTTGGTAGAGCAGCTCACAGACTGACAATGCACCACCCCAGAGGCCTGGCAACTACACTTTGCCTTACAGTCGTCTGTCAGCACCGTCTCCCCTAGCTGGGGGGTAAAAACAACATCCGTGACTCAACTCAATATGAATAAGAATCCTTGCATTTGATACAGTGCCTTATCACATCTTCAAGACGTCTCGAACCGCTTCACAGCATACGTTGCAAAGCGTAGTGACTGTGTGTTTTGTGGGCCAAACGCAGCAGCCAATTGCGCACAGTGATGTACAGGATGGAATGACCCCTTTATTATTATATTACCAGGTGACTAAAAAGTCGTGATAAGTGCCCTATTATCTAAAAACACACAAAAATATCATCATTTCTTTAGGACTTGTTAGACATTGTAATGGTATCACGAATTTTGGTCACCCCGTGTAATTTTTTTATTTTGAGGGGATTATCACCCCCGGAAATGCGATGCGCCATTCGACTAACAGGCGAGTTCCTACCTACTGCTGGTAAACAGAGGCGTGTGCGCGTGTGGAGTAAGGAAGCTTGCCCAGCATTGCGCCCTGACCCACCCGGGAATCAAACCCAGGTCCTCTCGCTTCCTTGCGAATTGAGCGTTCTAATCACTAACCGACAGGGCTCCACGATGCTTCAAATAGATGCTTCATTCACCCTGCCACAGATAGCTGAGCTGCACGCCGTTTACAACAATAACAACTTGCATTTATACAGCGCCCCTCACGAAGGGTAGCGTCCCAGAGCATTTACCTGGATGTATCTGCCCTCGAATGTGCAGCCGCACTTAGCTATAGGAATGCACTGTTCACCACTGAAGACGAAGCCAGAGTCGCATTGACAGCCCTCGGTGCACTTGAACTTACAGGTCACTGGAGCGAGGAGCCCTGCACAGTTAGACCCACAGGTGTCAGCACACACCTTGTAATGGCTGTTCGCAGGACAAGCGAGAGCTGTGGGGACAAAATGAATTATGTGTTATTGCAGTGATAATAATCCTTACAGCTGATACAAGCGGCTTTCACAACAACAACAATTTACACCGCGCCCCTCATGCACGGTAGAGTCCCAGAGCGCTCGACAGTGGCAGAGCACAAGGCCGAGCCGGCGGGAGGGGGAGGTGACAGTAGGCATAGTCGAAATGGACGGTCTTCGGGCACAACCTGAAGATGGGGAAGGGAGGGAGGGAGGGACAAGGCAGAGTTTTGGGGCATAGCGGCTGAAACCACAGCCAACGATGGTGGAACGGAGGACACAAGGGACATGCAGGGGGTAGTGGGTAGGGCGGTAAGCAGGTCGGAGAGATGGGGAGATTGCCTGGACATGAAGTGATTTGAAAATTGAGTGTGAGGATCTATCGGTGAAAGGAAGCCTGTGGAGTCTGGCTAGAACTGGTGTGACGGGAGGACATCTCAAAGCGCTTCACAGGATTCACTGAAAAGAGCAGTGACTGTATGGTGTGGGTGAAACGCAGTAGCCAATGTGTGTACAGCGACCTTCCCGCAAACAGCCGTGAAGTGAATGAACGATCCTATTTGGGGAGATTGATGATTACTCAATCAAGACAACAACTTGCATTTACATAGCCCCCCCACAGCGCTTAATCTTATCTGCGGGATTTCTGCAATGACCCATCTGTGTCGGTGTTGTTGGACTTACGGCAGAAGGTAGGGGTCCTCCAGCTCTCAATGTTGACTCCCACGGCCTGACAGGCCGACACATAGGCTTGAATGCTGTCACAGAGGACCTTGACGTCCCCATTCGCCTTACACACATCGTACACGCAGTGCTGAAAGTAGTTGTGAGGATTGATGAGCTGGTGGCATTCGTGTAAGGAAGACTTCTCTGTGGTCAATAGGCCGCATTGATCCACTGACTGGAAAGTGGCCACACGGCTGGGATCACACTCTGGGCATTGCCCTTCACATCCGTCTGCACACTTGGCTCCCTCAACAACCACCTTCCAGCTGGACCCAAATGCAGTCGGGTTGCTCAACACTTGCCCGTCAGGGCTCTTAAACTCGTCAGTCTTCAGGCCATTAAAGTTGCCACAAAGACCACCCAATTTGTCCTGATACGTGCTGGGGACGCCCACCGCCACGTAATAGACTGCGTCGTAAGTGACCTGCAACCCAAAGGCTGTCTTCAGCACCAAGTTGACTCCCTCCTGGGTGACCTTGACTGTTTTGGACGGCAACGTGTAGGGCAGGTAAATTAGCTCATCGTCAACCTGCAGAAGGAGAGGAGGCAGAACAACAAATTCAACTTGTGTGTCTAGACACTGAAACTCACTCACACACTCAAACTCCCCAAGGCGTTCAGTATTGAAGGAGAAACCTCAAATGAAACTCTCTCAAAATAATAATAATAATAATAATCCTTGCAGGATATGTTGTAAAGTGTATTTTGTGGGCGAAGGTGAGTGATCCATTTTATTTGGGAGATTCTCGGCCAGGACACCAGGAGAGGGAGCGAGGGAGGAACTCCTCTTTATGAACGGTGCCACGAGAGATGTTTAGCATCCACCTGAACAAACAGACGGGATCTCGGTTTAACATCTCATCCAAACGAAGGCACCTCCAACGATTCAGCGCTGTCCCATCCCTGCACTGAAGTATCAGCTGAGAAGATGTGATTCCAAGTCTTGACGTGGGGCTTGAACCCACAAATTTCTGACTCAGAGGCGAGAGCGCTACCACCACGCCAGGCTGGCACAAACATCGAACACTCATCCGAATGATCAGTCCTAGTCACTCACCCACATTTTCCACCTGTTGTCTTTCTTCATTAGGAACTTGTGTCCATAAACTTCCACCAACACGAGTCTGGTGACTCCCCATTGCCCAACTTCTTGTTCTCCACCTGCACATGGAACTTGACCAGCTTCTTGTCCTCGACCATGACCTTCGTCAGCGTGTAAGTGCAAGTGCCTTGGAAGTCGAAGGCCAGGCCGTCGAACGAGACGTAATGAAGGTCTCCAGCCGCGACACACTTGCCACATCCCTCTGCATGACAGCCCTTGACTCCGTCCACCACCTTACACTCCTGTTTGTGGCAACAAGTAAAGTTCTCACATGCCACCTGCTTGTTGTCCTGACACGTACACTTCTCTTGGCAGAGGTCCCGGGGGTAAAAGACCTCCCCTCTCTTGTAGTAGCGGCCCTCGTACCGGCAGCCGCACTGGTTGAGGGGAACGCACTCCTCCCCGCTCAGCGTGAAGCCGCTATCACACTGGCAGCCCTCTTTACAGGAGGCTTCACACCCCTCAGATGGGCTACATGTAGTAGGGCAGCCAGACCCGCAGAGCTCATAGTGGCTGTGCCTGGGACAATTCGACGCTGCAAATGAATGACAGTCACATTAGGGAAACAAGCCATGATTTGAGGATTGAGTGTTTGAGGAACAATAATCGACAGCAAGTGTATCAATCTAAAATTATAATACTTTCGCTTGGTACCGTCGCGTGGATGTTGCAAAGCCCCTCACGGGACACATTTAGAAAGCATATAATAATAATCCTTGCCTATGATATCGCGCCTTATCACGTCATATTATCCCCAGATTCGATAACAACTTTCAAGAGAGATGTGGATAGATATTTGGGGAAGACAAGTTTGCGGGGCTATGGGTAGAGAGCGAGGGAGTGGGATTGATTTGGACAGCTCTTTGAAAGAGCCGGCACGGGCACGATGGCCGAATGGCCTCCTTCAGTGCTCTATTATTCTATGATTCTAACCTTCTGACGGCACTTGAAGCTTGAATGTTATACTCACGGCAGAAATCATTGCTCCTCCATTGATGGACTTCCACACCTGCCTGCTGACAGACCTCAGTGTAAGCGGAGAGCGCATCACAGAGGGGAGCCTGTATCCCTTGGTACTGACACACGTCAAAGACACAGCTCTCGAAAAACCCTTTGGGGTCGATGGTGGCGTGGCAGTCACGGAAGGGTCCTGTTCTGCTCCGGATAATATCACAATAGTTTCTGCCTTGGTACTTAACCTTACTGGCCGTGTCGCACACAGGACAGTTCTCCGTGCATCCGGCTGTGCAGCCGGGGATATCAGCCACCTTCCAGCTGTGCCCGAAGGCAACGGCGCTGGGAGCTGGCTTGCCGTCCTGCATTTTCAAGTCGTCTTCGCGGTCGCTGTTGTAGTTCCCGCAAAGCCCACACACACTGTTAGCGTAGTTGCTGGGCAGGGTGACGGAAACCCGGCTCTTCCAGTCAAAGGTGACTCTCAGACCGAAATCCGTCTTCACCACAGCTGTCCAGCCGCTCCTGTAGGCAACGATGCGGTTCGTGTCCAAGTTATATGGGAGGGCGACCGACACTTGGTTCACCTGGAACACAAATGGAACATAAAATAATAATAGCGATCCCGGCATTTGACCCAGAGCCTTATCACGTCGTCGAGACATCTCAAAGCGCTCCACCGGCTACACCGGAATAATAGCAACAACCAATGCGTATTGCGTTGCGTTAAATGGCTGACCACGGATCAGTTAGCCTTACCGTAATCCTGAGCGGGTTGTCTACACTGATGACGATGGTGGTTTCGTGCACCTCGATTAACACGACTTTGGTGAACGCCACTGCGTTGTTACCCCGATGGTTGTTCTGAACGTCGACCTTGAATGGAATGAGGTTGGGATCATTGTAGCACAGGGCGGCCAGCTGATAGACGCAGGTTCCCTGGAAGTCAAACCTCCCGCCGTCAAATGAGATGTAATGTAGGTCTCCCGAGGCCCAGCAGGTGGCTTGGCTGGTTGGGACACAGCTTGGAACTCCATCAACGAGAGCACATTGCTCTCTCAATTTGCACTTACTCTTGTGGCAGAGCACCTTATTCGAGGCAGGGTTACACACGCACAGCTCCTCACACTTGCCATCCGACCAGAATCTGTCATTGGGTTTGTAGACGCGACCTCCGTGCGCGCAGCCACAGGTCTGGATTGAGACGCACTTGTCTCCGGTCCTCACGTGGCCCTCGTCGCAGTCACAGCCTTCCACACAGCGCTGTTTGCATTTCAAGGGAGCCAAGGGATCCTCGCACGTGGCCGGGCAGGCAATCGCACAGGCTGCGTAGTGACTGTTCTCAGGACACTTGATATCTGCGGAGAACAAAAGGCACACGACAGGTGTCTCAAGTGAGAGGGGGCGTGGAATCCGGTCACGTAATGGTTAGAGTACTTGCCTCCAACTGAGAGGACCTGGGTTTGATTCCCAGTCAGGTCAGGGAGAAACCTTAGGCAAGTTTGCATTTTCGAGGGTATGAAGGGCAAATTTATAATAATAATCCTTGCATATGATACAACGTCTTCGAGACGTCTCAAAGCGCTTCTCAGCATACAACTGTAAAGTGTAGTGACTGTGTGATTTGTAGGCAAAACGCGGCAGTCAATTGTTCACAGTTGTGTCCCACAAATAGTCATGGATTGAGTGATGAAATAGTAATTTTTTTTGAATGGATTATTACTCCCAGAAAGTGATGCGGCAGTCGACTAACAAGCGTTTTCCTATTTAATGCTGGTAAACTGAGACGTGTGTGGGTGTGTATCTGGAGTTAGGAAACTTGCCTAAGGCTTTTGCCCTGATCTGATCCGCCCAGGAATCAAACCCATATCCTGTCGCTTGTTTGCGAGGCGAGTGCTCCAACCACTAAACTACAGGATGCCACAGATGTAAGAGTTAGCAATTTTCCATCTATTCCCCCCGTTGTGTGTTGCAGTTTGTGTGATGGGTACTATATTATGTTTATTATATTAATACAAGCTGTTGTGGGTGTTGTTCAGAAATACTGAGTGATGGGGGGAGCATTACCTGAGTCGCAGCCCATTTTCCCGCCTTTAATCTCACAGTACTGTTTTTTAGGGCAGGAGAAGTCCTCACAGACAAACTCTGCTTTGGTACATTTGCATTTCTTGGTGCAGTTGTTCTGTATCTGATATTCCTCGGACTATAAACAAAGTGGGAATAAATGGCAGAGGCCAGAAAAAACATCCGTCACTCCATAATTCTGGTGTAATTCCAACCTGCTCGCTTGGACCAGCAGCTTCTTGAAGCCAATAGCAACAACAGCAACAACACATTGCATTTACACAACTCCTTTCACGTTGGGAGGACCTCCAAAAGCATTGGACTTGTCTCAGTCAGGGATTTGGATCCAAGCTGGGGGGTGGGATTGGGGAGGATGGAGGGCTGTGGGGGGGGGGGGGGGGCAGAGTGAAGAGGAGGGGTTTGAGACATGTCTCGAAGGAGGCGAGGGAGGGGGCGAGGCGGACTGTTGGACGGAGTTCCAGAGAGTGGGGGCAGAGAGGCTGAAGGCCCAACCGCCAATGGTGGGTCGGGCCGGGGCAGGGACGTGGAGCTGAGCGGAGGGATGCCATTATAATTGTTCGGCCTCAGTAACAACACCTTGCATTTATATGGCGCCCTTCATGCCGGACGGCATCTCGGAGCGCTTGACAGCCGCGCAGATATAACACACTCTTTCACACACGAGAGACACCCCATGACGGGTTACCTTGTAATACTGTCCATTCTCAAAGCAGCCACACTTCTCACTGGAAATGCACTGGTCACCATCAGCATAAAATCCGTCATCGCACTCGCAGCCTTCAGTACAGGTCTTGGGGCAGTTGGGGAAGCCACTGACGGCAGCACAGCTACCAGTGCAGGTCTGGGCACATTGTTCATAGTGACTGTTAGAGGGGCATTGAAGAGCTGCAGAAACAAACACAAGACAACAGTCAGAAGATACTTATTCAAGACCCTGGTCCATACCTTCAAAGCCCTCCAGGCCCTGCTCCTCCCTACCTACCTCTGGGACCTCCTTAAACGCCTATCAATGTGTCCGCGCTCTCCCTCCACTCAGCAGGCTCTGGCTTGCTTGATGCCCCCGCCCGGCCCACCCCACCATCGGCAGCTTCTCCTCTTGACGTGAAATGCACTGCGTAAATGTCATTTGTTGTTGTTGTTGTGTGTGTGGAGCAAGGAAACTTGCCCAAGGTTTCGCCCTGTCCCGCCTGGTAAATCGAACCCAGGTCCTCTCGCTTGTGAGGCGAGCACTCTCACCACTGAGCTACAGGACTCCCCACACGAGAGTCAGCCTGATTATCCGCGAATACTATACTTACGGCAGAAGGTCTTACTCCTCCAGGTCTTCACGTCCACCTGTTTAGCTTGGCAAGCCGACACATAGGCCTGCAGACTGTCGCACAGCATCTTGGTGTTACCATTGGCCTTACACAGATCATACAGGCAATCTTGGAAGTACTGCTCCGGGTCAACAGTGGAGTGACATGCTCTCAAAGGGCTATCACTGGCGGTCAGGAAGCCACAGAGACTGACCCCTTTGAAGACGTTTATCTTGTTCTGCTCACACACAGGGCACTGGTTACCGCATCCGTCGTCACACTTGGCTCCCTGGACAGGCACCTTCCAGCCTTTGCAGAAACTCGTCACGTCATCAGCCTGCTTGTCACTAGGGAGCAAGAACTCGTCCTCCCGGTCGCCATTGAAGTTGCCGCACAGGCCTCGCATCTTGCCCTGGTAATCACCGGGCACCGTCACCACCACGCGGTAAACCAGATCGTAGCTGACCTCCAGCCCGAAGTCAGTCTCCACCACTATCTTGTTTCCGTGCTGGCTGGCACGGATTTTACCTCCGTCTATCTCCAGGGGCAAAGTGATCGCAACCCCATCAACCTGCGATCAAACACAACATTAATCAGTCATCAGTCCTCTCAAAAGGGCAAGCAGCGGTTTCCAATGGTTGGGGACTTTTAGAAGGAAATTTGTATTCAAAGCATCTCAGTATGATTCTACTTGCACGAGAAAACCCATTTATCTGGACTTGAACCCAAATGAAAAGTAATAATAATCCTTGTATCTGATGTAGTGTCTTCGAGATGTCTCAAAGCGCTTCACGGGATATACTGTAAAGTGTAGTGACTGTCAGCGCCTTGGGACGTCCTCTGACATGAAAGGCGCTATCCAAGTGTAACCTTGTTGTTGTTGTTGTTGTTTGTGATTGGCATCTCCAACCACGTACCTGAACGCTCCACTTGACTCCAGTCTCCAGGATAAGTTTGTAACCGTACACATCTACCTCCACCAGCCTGGTCACGGCCACCTTACTGTTACCGTAGCTTCTGTTTTCCACGTTGACGGTGAACGGTGTCAGCCATTTCTCCTGCTCCCACACTTTGGCCAGGGTGTAAGTACAAGTCCCTTCGAAATCAAACGCCAGGCCATCAAAGGAGCGGTAATGGAGCACTCCAGCTGCACTGCAGCTGCCGGTGTCAGGCACGTCAACCAGGAGGCACCCATACCGGCCATTCACCAATCGACATTCATGTTTGGGAGGGCAGGTGAAGTCGGTGCGTTCCACGATCCCGCCCGGCTGACACCGGCATTTCCCAGAGCACTTCTCCTCGCAGAAGAAGCTCTCCCTGGCCTTGTAGTACTCTCCCTTGTAGACGCAGCCGCAGGCCTCCAACGGGACACACTGTTCCCCGCTCAGAACGAAGCCCTCGTCACACTGACACCCTTCCCTGCAGCCTTCGTCGCACTCCCTGGGCTCCAACAAACTGGTGCAGGTTTCAGGGCAGCCAGAAGCACACAACTCGTAATGGCTGTTCTTGGGGCAAGATTGAGCTGTCAACCCACAAGGGACATGGTGTCAAACGTCACGTCAGAGACTTCAACAACAACAACTACTTGTATTTACACAGCGAACCCTCGCGCTGAGTAGCGTCCTGGATCGCCTGACGGTGATGGAGCGCGAAACCGAGTCGTGAGGAGGGAAAGGGGAGGTGACCGTAGGCACGTAAGGTCGAAGAGGAAAGGTCTTCAGGCGGAATCTGAAGATGCGGAAGGAGGGAGGGACGATGGCGGAGGAATGGGGAGAGTGTGACAGTGTTTCGGGGCGCAGTGGCTGAAAGTGGCGCCGCTGATGGTGGAACGGAGGTCATGAGGGACAAGCTGAGTGGAGGCAGTGTGTAGTGGGTTGGGGAGTAAGTCTGTCGGAGAAGTAGGGAGGTGCCAGGGCATGAAGGGATTTGAAAAGATGGGGTACGGAGTTTAGTGTGTGTGATAAGGAGTGATCAGGGCCTGGCGAGGCCTCGGGTGATGGAGCAGCTGCTCTGTGAGTCCCACACGTCAGTGAGGAGGGTGCAGAGCGTTGTTGGCTTTGCCCATACTTACGGCAGAAGGTTGGGGTCCGCCAGGGGAACAGCTGGACCCCAACGTCTTGACAGGCGGCTGTGTAGGCGGTCAGAGCGTCACACACCACTGGGGCTCGGCCTTTGTATAGACAGGCATCGAAAAGGCAGTCGTCAAAGTACTCGCTGGGTTCCACCTTGGCCAGGCATAGTCGGAAAGGCCCAGCCTCGTCTTTGATGGGCCCACAGAAGGCGTTGGTCACGTAGCGCTGCTTCTGCTCGATGTCACACTGGGGACACTTGCCCTGACACTGGCTGCTGCAGCCTGGTGTGGTGGCCACCTGCCAGCTCTCTCCAAACTGGGTGGGGTTGGGAGCTGGCTTGCCCCCCTTCATGGTCAGGTCGTTCTGCTTGTTCCGGTCAAAGTCTCCGCACAGCCCACACACCTGGCCGCTGTACGTGCTGGGCAGAGTGACGGTGATACGACTGCGCCAATCGTACGTGACCCGCAGGCCGAAATCCGTCTGCAGGGTGGCTCCCCACCCGCTGCGGTACACACTCACCCCGGCCACGGTCAACGGCAGGTTGGCTAACACCCCGTTCACCTGTAGGACAGACACGATGCAACAACAGCAACGTCAGTGCGAGGTCGTGTAGTGCAGTGGTTAGAGCGCTCGCATCTTTGTCGTCAGAACGGGGGAGTTCAACTAGTTGTAGTAAGAGCAGGTGGGAGTGGTTCTAGTTGGGGCAAGAGCGGGTGGGAGTGGTTCTAGTTGGGGTAAGAGCGGGTGGTAGTGGTTCAAGTTGGGGCAAGAGCGGGTGGGAGTGGTTCTAGTTGGGGCAAGAGCGGGTGGGAGTGGTTCCAGTTGGGGTAAGAGCGGGTGGGGGTGGTTCAAGTTGAGGCAAGAGCGGTAGAGCTCGACTAGTTAGGGTAATTGCAAGTGGGAATTGGACTAGTTGGTAACTCTACTAAAGAACCGGCACAGGCTCGAAGGGCTGAAGAGGAATGAAGACTCACTATGATTTTGCCGGTGTGCTGCCTAGTGATGACCAGCGTGTGGTTGTAGACCTGGACCCAGGCCAGCCGGGTGTAGGACACGGCCTTGTTGCCCCTGTTCTCATTCTGCACTCGGACCTCGAAAGGCTCCAGCTCCTTGTCGTCACCGCACAGCGCAGAGAAGCGGTAAACACAGGTCCCCATGAAATCGTAGGTCTTGCCGTCGAAGGTCTTGTAGTGGGGGTCTCCTGATGCCCGGCAGGTGGCATAACTGACCGGGTGGCAACCCCTTACTCTCTTCAGCACCTTGCAGGTCTCGCTGGCCTTGCACTTGTGGGGCTGACACAGGACGTTGTTGGTCAGAGGGTCGCATGTGCACTTGCTACTACAGCTGTCGTCATCCCAGAAGCTCTCCCTGGCCTTGTAGTACTCTCCCTTGTAGACGCAGCCACAGGCCTCCGACTGGACACACTGTTCCCCGCTCAGAACGAAGCCCTCGTCACACTGACACCCTTCCCTGCAGCCTTCGTCGCACTCCCTGGGCTCCAACAAACTGGTGCAGGTTTCAGGGCAGCCAGAAGCACACAACTCGTAATGGCTGTTCTTGGGGCAAGATTGAGCTGTCAACCCACAAGGGACATGGTGTCAAACGTCACGTCAGAGACTTCAACAACAACAACTACTTGTATTTACACAGCGAACCCTCGCGCAGAGCAGCGTCCTGGATCGCCTGACGGTGACGGAACGCAAAGCCGAGTCGTGAGGAGGGAAAAGGGAGGTGACCGTAGGCACGTAAGGTCGAAGAGGAAAGGCACAACCTGAAGATGCGGAAGGAGGGAGGGACGATGGCGGAGGAATGGGGACAGTGTGACAGTGTTTCGGGGCGTAGTGGCTGAAAGTGGCGCCGCTGATGGTGGAACGGAGCTCATGAGGGACAATCTGAGTGGAGGCAGTGTGTAGTGGGTTGGGGAGTAAGTCTGTCGGAGAAGTCGGGAGGTGTCGGCATGAAGGGATTTGAAAAGAAGTGAGAGAATGTCGAAATCGATCCGTTCGGACACAGGGAGCCAGTGAGGCCTGGGGAGATGGGAGATGGGGTACGGAGTTTAGTGTGTGTGATAAGGAGTGATCAGGGCCTGGCGAGGCCTCGGGTGATGGAGCAGCTGCTCTGTGAGTCCCACACGTCAGTGAGGAGGGTGCAGAGCGTTGTTGGCTTTGCCCATACTTACGGCAGAAGGTTGGGGTCCGCCAGGGGAACAGCTGGACCCCAACGTCTTGACAGGCGGCTGTGTAGGCGGTCAGAGCGTCACACACCACTGGGGCTCGGCCTTTGTACAGACAGGCATCGAAAAGGCAGTCGTCAAAGTACTCGCTGGGTTCCACCTTGGCCAGGCATAGTCGGAAAGGCCCAGCCTCGTCTTTGATGGGCCCACAGAAGGCGTTGGTCACGTAGCGCTGCTTCTGCACGATGTCACACTGGGGACACTTGCCCTGACACTGGCTGCTGCAGCCTGGTGTGGTGGCCACCTGCCAGCTCTCTCCAAACTGGGTGGGGTTGGGAGCTGGCTTGCCCCCCTTCATGGTCAGGTCGTTCTGCTTGTTCCGGTCAAAGTCTCCGCACAGCCCACACACCTGGCCGCTGTACGTGCTGGGCAGAGTGACGGTGATACAACTGCGCCAATCGTACGTGACCCGCAGGCCGAAATCCGTCTGCAGGGTGGCTCCCCACCCGCTGCGGTACACACTCACCCCGGCCACGGTCAACGGCAGGTTGGCTAACACCCCGTTCACCTGTAGGACAGACACGATGCAACAACAGCAACGTCAGTGCGAGGTCGTGTAGTGCAGTGGTTAGAGCGCTCGCATCTTTGTCGTCAGAACGGGGAGTTCAACTAGTTGTAGTAAGAGCAGGTGGGAGTGGTCTAGTTGGGCAAGAGCGGGTGGGAGTGGTTCTAGTTGGGGTAAGAGCGGGTGGTAGTGGTTCAAGTTGGGGCAAGAGCGGGTGGAGTGGTTCTAGTTGGAGAGCGGGTGGTAGTGGTTCAAGTTGGGGCAAGAGCGGGTGGGAGTGGTTCTAGTTGGGGCAAGAGCGGGTGGGAGTGGTTCCAGTTGGGGTAAGAGCGGGTGGGGGTGGTTCAAGTTGAGGCAAGAGCGGTAGAGCTCGACTAGTTAGGGTAATTGCAAGTGGGAATTGGACTAGTTGGTAACTCTACTAAAGAACCGGCACAGGCTCGAGGGGCTGAATGGTCTCCTCCTGTTCTTATGAGAATCTATAAGAGTCTATGGATGTATGAGAGGATCAGCCTCACGTGAAGAGGAATGAAGACTCACTATGATTTTGCCGGTGTGCTGCCTAGTGATGACCAGTGTGTGGTTGTAGACCTGGACCCAGGCCAGCCGGGTGTAGGACACGGCCTTGTTGCCCCTGTTCTCATTCTGCACTCGGACCTCGAAAGGCTCCAGCTCCTTGTCGTCACCGCACAGCGCAGAGAAGCGGTAAACACAGGTCCCCATGAAATCGTAGGTCTTGCCGTCGAAGGTCTTGTAGTGGGGGTCTCCTGATGCCCGGCAGGTGGCATAACTGACCGGGTGGCAACCCCTTACTCTCTTCAGCACCTTGCAGGTCTCGCTGGCCTTGCACTTGTGGGGCTGACACAGGACGTTGTTGGTCTGAGGGTCGCATGTGCACTTGCTACTACAGCTGTCGTCATCCCAGAAGCTCTCCCTGGCCTTGTAGTACTCTCCCTTGTAGACGCAGCCACAGGCCTCCGACCAGACACACTGTTCCCCGCTCAGAACGAAGCCCTCGTCACACTGACACCCTTCCCTGCAGCCTTCGTCGCACTCCCTGGGCTCCAACAAACTGGTGCAGGTTTCAGGGCAGCCAGAAGCACACAACTCGTAATGGCTGTTCTTGGGGCAAGATTGAGCTGTCAACCCACAAGGGACATGGTGTCAAACGTCACGTCAGAGACTTCAACAACAACAACTACTTGTATTTACACAGCGAACCCTCGCGCTGAGTAGCGTCCTGGAGAGCTTAACGGTGATGGAGCGCGAAGCCGAGTCGTGAGGAGGGAAAAGGGGAGATGACCGTAGGCACGTAAGGTCGAAGAGGAAAGGTCTTCAGGCGGAATCTGAAGATGCGGAAGGAGGGAGGGACGATGGCGGAGGAATGGGGAGAGTGTGACAGTGTTTCGGGGCGTAGTGGCTGAAAGTGGCGCCGCTGATGGTGGAACGGAGCTCATGAGGGACAATCTGAGTGGAGGCAGTGTGTAGTGGGTTGGGGAGTAAGTCTGTCGGAGAAGTCGGGAGGTGTCGGCATGAAGGGATTTGAAAAGAAGTGAGAGAATGTCGAAATCGATCCGTTCGGACACAGGGAGCCAGTGAGGCCTGGGGAGATGGGAGATGGGGTACGGAGTTTAGTGTGTGTGATAAGGAGTGATCAGGGCCTGGCGAGGCCTCGGGTGATGGAGCAGCTGCTCTGTGAGTCCCACACGTCAGTGAGGAGGGTGCAGAGCGTTGTTGGCTTTGCCCATACTTACGGCAGAAGGTTGGGGTCCGCCAGGGGAACAGCTGGACCCCAACGTCTTGACAGGCGGCTGTGTAGGCGGTCAGAGCGTCACACACCACTGGGGCTCGGCCTTTGTATAGACAGGCATCGAAAAGGCAGTCGTCAAAGTACTCGCTGGGTTCCACCTTGGCCAGGCATAGTCGGAAAGGCCCAGCCTCGTCTTTGATGGGCCCACAGAAGGCGTTGGTCACGTAGCGCTGCTTCTGCACGATGTCACACTGGGGACACTTGCCCTGACACTGGCTGCTGCAGCCTGGTGTGGTGGCCACCTGCCAGCTCTCTCCAAACTGGGTGGGGTTGGGAGCTGGCTTGCCCCCCTTCATGGTCAGGTCGTTCTGCTTGTTCCGGTCAAAGTCTCCGCACAGCCCACACACCTGGCCGCTGTACGTGCTGGGCAGAGTGACGGTGATACGACTGCGCCAATCGTACGTGACCCGCAGGCCGAAATCCGTCTGCAGGGTGGCTCCCCACCCGCTGCGGTACACACTCACCCCGGCCACGGTCAACGGCAGGTTGGCTAACACCCCGTTCACCTGTAGGACAGACACAATACAACAACAGCAACGTCAGTGCGAGGTCGTGTAGTGCAGTGGTTAGAGCGCTCGGCCTGTTGGGCGTAAGAATGGGGGAGTTCAACTAGTTATGGTCAGAGCAGGTGGGAGTGGATCCAGTTGGGTAAGAGCAGGTGGGAGTGGATCCAGTTGGGGTAAGAGCGGGTGGGAGTGGTTCTAGTTGGGGCAAGAGCGGGTGAAGGGTGGTTCAAGTTGGGGTAAGAGCGGTAGAGCTCGACCAGTTAGGGTAATTGCAAGTGGGAGTTGGACTAGTTGGTAATTCTACTAAAGAACCGGCACAGGCTCGAGGGGCTGAATGGTCTCCTCCTGTTCTTATGAGAATCTATAAGAGTCTATGGATGTATGAGAGGATCAGCCTCACGTGAAGAGGAATGAAGACTCACTATGATTTTGCCGGTGTGCTGCCTAGTGATGACCAGTGTGTGGTTGTAGACCTGGACCCAGGCCAGCCGGGTGTAGGACACGGCCTTGTTGCCCCTGTTCTCATTCTGCACTCGGACCTCGAAAGGCTCCAGCTCCTTGTCGTCACCGCACAGCGCAGAGAAGCGGTAAACACAGGTCCCCATGAAATCGTAGGTCTTGCCGTCGAAGGTCTTGTAGTGGGGGTCTCCTGATGCCCGGCAGGTGGCATAACTGACCGGGTGGCAACCCCTTACTCCCTTCAGCACCTTGCAGGTCTCGCTGGGCTTGCACTTGGCTCTCACGCAGTCCAGTTTCTTGGTCAGTGGGTTGCACCTACACTTTTTGGTACATTGGTCATTGCCCCAGATGGTCTGATCGGGTTTGTAGTACTGGCCGTTACTTGTGCACCCACAGCTCTGCTGGCTAACACAGTTGCCTGCACTCAGCACATAGCCTGGCTTACACCGACAGGACTCCACGCATGGCTGCCCGCAATTGGCCTCGGCCTGTGGGTCAGTGCAGGTGGCTGGGCAGGCACTGGCACAGGCTTTGTACTCGCTCTTCGCCGGGCAACGCAACCCTGCAAGATAAAAATGTCACAGAACTTTTATCAATACTCATCCTTGCGTTTGATGCATCACGTCTTCGAGATGAACTCAGAGCGCTTCACAGGATACAGCGTAAAGTGTAGCGACTGTACATGTTGTGGGGCAGCCCCAGCGACGACCCACAACCAGCCGTGGATTGAATTGACCAATTTATCGTGACTATTACTATTATTATTATTATTATTGGAAGGAATTGAGCCACTTACGACAGTTTGAGGGAGTGCGCCAGTCACCAATGTCAGCTCCTTCTCTCTGACAGTCCTCAGTGTACACCTTCAGTGCCTGGCACAGTTGCTGGTGACTCTTGACCAGGCACACATCGTAGACACAGTTGGTCACGTAATCTGCAGGGTCGATCCTGTCGTGACAGTCCTTGAAGGGGCCATTAGGCTTGGAAATCAGTCCACAATTGGACACCGATTGATATTTCTGTCTGTTTCTCTCATCACAGACTGGGCACTTCCCTTTGCAATTGTCCCAACAAGCCTTGTCACCGTCGTTCACCTTCCAGCTCGCAGCAAAGTCGTTTGGCGCTGACGCCACCTGACCACCTGGCGTCTTGAAGTCGTCGTCCGGCTTCCCGTTATAGTTACCGCAAAGCCCGCAGAGTCTGTCCTGGAAACTGCTCGTGACCCTGACCTCCAGGTGATGATTCCAGTCGTATTTCACCTTGAGGTCAAAGTCAGTTTCCAGCAACATGTAGGAGCCGCTTTGAAACAGCTTGAGTTTCCCATCATGGAGGAGAAGCGGCAGATTGGACTTGAGGTCGTTAACCTAGGTGGGAAGATGATAAATAATAATAATAAATTATAATAATAATCGTTGGCCGAGTTTCCTTACTCCACACACACACACACACACACACACACAAACACCTGTTTACCTAGCAGTGAGTACGAACCCGCTTATTGATCGCTTCTCCAGGGGTAATAATCCCTCCAAAAATAAATACATCAATGCATAAATAATAATGCGGTCACTCAACACGCGGCTGTTTGTGGGTCGCTGTTGGGCGCAATCGGCTGCCGCGTTTCGCCCACAAAATAAACAGTGAATTCACTTCACAGTATATTCTGTGAAGCGCTTTGAGACGTCTCGGAGACGTGATAAGGCGCTCTATCACATGAAAGGATTATTATTATTATTGTTATTATATCAGATGACACCAGTGATGAGGGACTACAATTATGTGGAGAGACTGGAATTGTTCTCCTTAGAGCAGAGATTTAATAGAGGTGTTCACAATTATGAGGGGTTTTGACAAGAGTAAATAGTAATAATCCTTGCGTTTGATACAGTGCCTTATCATGTCTTCGAGACATCTCAAATAGAAGACATCTTCATCGGATCCACTGTCAAGTGTCGTGACTGTGCGTTTTCTGGGCGAAACACGGCAGCTAATTGCACATAGCGACATCCTCACACACAGTCGTGGATTGAGTGACCACGTTTTTTAAAATATATTATTCTGGAGGGATTATTGCCCTCGGTATACGATCTGCCAATCCACTAACAAGCCGGTTGCTACTTACCGCTGGTAAACAGAGGCGTGGGTGTGTGTGTGGTGTAAGGAAACTTGTCTAAGGTTTCAACCTGACCTGACCCACCCGGGAATCGAACCTGGATCCTCTCGTTTGCGAAGAGAGTGCTCTAACCACTGCGCTACTACACATATAAAAGGGGTCAGGTTACAATCAACTCACCCTGACTAGGCTGTGCTCCCTCCTCAGTACAGTAATGTTCAGATCATACACATAAATATTGACCAGATCGACGTAAGAGACTTTTGTGCTGCCTCGGTTAGCATTCTTGGCCTCGACTTTGAAGCTCGGGAGAGAAGTTTCCGTGCCACAGGTCTTGGCAATGGTGTACTTGCAAGTTCCCTGGAAATCGTACTTCTGTCCATCGAAGGTGCTGTAATGTGGATCACCCGATGCCCAACACACCGCTCCGCCGATCGGCTGGCACTCAGCCTTGCCGTTGACCACCCTGCACTTTTCCTTCGCTACACACTTGGTGTAAATGCACGGATCTGAAACTATTCGTTTAGGATAGAGAGAGTGCCATCATGTTCGGCAACACCGACTTGCATTTACACAGTGCCCTTCCCCCCCCCCCCCCATGCAGAGCGCCACGCTGGGATTTGGGAGGGACGGGGGGGGGGGGAGTGACCGTAGGTACGGTCAAAGAGGAAGGCAGGCGGAGGGCGGGATTGAGGGAGAGAGTGACAGAGTTTTGACGGTGCAACGGAGGGCATGAGGGACATGCAGGAGGCCGCAGGCAGTCGAGCGGAGGCAGTGGGGTAGTGGGTTGTGGAGTAAGTAGGTCGGAGAGGTAGGGAGGTGCCAGAGCGTTAAGGGATTTGAGGACGAGTGAGAGGGTCCTGAAATCAGCAAAGTGAATGCGAGTCACTCGCCACGGAGGATAACATAATTTATGTGGACAGAGAGTGTAGAGGGAGCGCTACTGTGTCTGTAACCCTGACCTGGGAGAGTGGACGCACAGTGCAGAGGAGCTTTACTGTGTCTGTAACCCTGACCTGGGAGAGTGGACACACAGTGTAGAGGGAGCGCTACTGTGTCTGTAACCCTGACCTGGGAGAGTGGACGCACAGTGCAGAGGAGCTTTACTGTGTCTCTAACCCTGACCTGGGAGAGTGGACGCACAGTGCAGAGGAGCTTTACTGTGTCTCTAACCCTGACCTGGGAGAGTGGACACACAGTGTAGAGGAGCTTTACTGTGTCTCTAACCCTGACCTGGGAGTGTGGACGCACAGTGCAGAGGAGCTTTACTGTGTCTGTAACCCTGACCTGGGAGAGTGGACGCACAGTGCAGAGGGAGCTTTACTGCGTCTGTAACCCTGACCTGGGAGAGTGGACACACAGTGTAGAGGGAGCTTTACTGCGTCTCTAACCCTGACTTGCGGAGTGTGGACGCAAAGCATAGAGAGAGAAACTGATTTACCTTGAAATGCATCCGGACTTGCTTGAAAGCCGTAGGCATCACGATTGGTAACACCATAGACGTACAGACTGAATGGCTCCACAGCTTCGCCTGCCACGCTGTGCAGTTTCAAATCACTGAACCTTAAGTCAGCCCAGGAGAATGCTGTCCCTTTGATATTTTCCCACTTGAGGCTAGCGAGTTTCACCTTCTTGTCCATTTTTAGGCGGGCGGTGTCAGAGGTTCGAGCTATGATGTTTGCGAAGTTGGAGAAACCTGGCCGGCCCTGAAAGCGATAGCCTGTGGAGTACTGACTAACGGGGACAACGTTCACCAGGAAGGGATCAAAGCGAAATTGTCTGCTTAACACCCCGCCTGTGCAGTAAAACATAACCATGATACCTTCGCTGGCGGTGATCGAGAGCGGGCGAGACTGGGAGATCTGGTAGCTCGTCATCTGCCCGGCTTTGAGCCGGTCCGGCTTCTGGCCCCCTTGGCCGAAGCGGATCTCGGTGTCCTTCGAAGTCAGCACGTAGATCAGATCGAACTGCCTCTGGACGGAGAGGGGGGCCACGATGAAAGTCTTTCCCCAACTGCTGACCGGAGGCAGCTGCTCAAAGACGTGGTTGCACTTGGTTCTGTAATAGACACAAGTGTGGCCGGACAAGACGGCCACTGGCTTGACGGACACGATCCTGCTGCGGGACAGGTCGGACCTGCTTTGGAACTGATAGTTTTCGTAGGGTTTCAGACTGATGGTTTGAACCTTCCTGGTATTCACTCGGTATATCTGGATCGTATTCGGCTCTCCCGTGTTGATGACTGTGAACTCCTTTGAATTACCTTTGTTGGGCGGGGTGAAGATATAATACTCGTTGCCGAGGGCAGAGACGGGGTAAATCAAGGCAGCGTCCATCGTATAGGATCTTTTATTGACCGAGACCACCGATATATCCTTACTGGATGTAATGATCACAGTGAACAGGGTGTGGGTGTTCCCTTTGAGCTGTAGAAAGTTGGGCAATTTCACACTTGCCGTTTGGTCCTTTCCCAGCACCAGGACCTTCCGCAGGGGGTTCTGGTTCACACTCACAGTCACGGTGGTGGCTTCTTCGTAGGAGATGATCTCCAGCTCTAGTAATGTGTCAGCACTGGTTCCTAAATAGTTCTGCATAAAGGTGGTGATGAATTCTCTACCGGTCTGCACTGCACTGCACGTCCCTGTGTAATAATAATAGATAATAATAAATAGTCTTGGCATTTGATTCACGTCTTCGAAACGTCTCAAAGCGCTTCACAGCATGCACTGTAAAGTGTAGTGACTGTGGGTTTTGTGGGCGAAACGAGGCAGTCAGTTGCGCCCAGCGACGCCCCACAAACAGTCATAGATTGATCCGCCAATCGACTAACAAGTGTGTCTGCGTGTGGAGTAAGGAAACTTGCCCAAAGTTGTGTCCTGCCTGGGATTTGAACCCAGGTCCTCTCGTTTGAAAGACGAGTGGCTCACTGCACTACAAGGTTCCCCAGACATTAGAGACATTCTCTGCTCTCTCTCTCCGCCCATCGTGTCTGTGCTGGTGCTCGCTCCCCCACTGGAGCTCTCTACTCTAAACCCCATTCTCTGCTCTCTCTCTCCGCCCATCGTGTCTGTGCTGGTGCTCGCTCCCCCACTGGAGCTCTCTACTCTAAACCCCATTCCCTGCTCTCTCTCCCCGGCTCAGTACTCACCCCAGAGCAACACAGCCCAGACACACAACAGCTTCATGTTCCCCATTCCCGAAAACCAGGTTGTCACGGAACTGGAAAACAAAAGGTAGCAGCGTAGATTATCATTAGGGGCTGACATTTCATAAGAACATAAAAAACATGCTGGCGAGAGAAGAACCAAGGTCCATCGAGTTGGCTTTCCACTCTCCTGGCAGTCGCTTGACAAGTGGTGCCCCAAACTATTCAGCGCAAGATAAAACATCTTATCGTGGTCCACATTATCTATTTGCTTCAGAATCTTTTTGTGGGCGAAACACGGCGGCCATTGGCGCCCAGCGGTGTCCCACAAACGATCGTGGATTTTCGTGGTGTGGTGGTTGGAGCACTCGCCTCGCAAGCGAGCGGACCTGCGTTGGATTCTCGGGCAGGGCGAAACATTGGGCAAGTTTCCTTACTCCACCCACATGCCTCTGGTGGATGGGCGGATGGGTGGAGTAAGGTCCCACCCGGGTCCTGCCTCTAACCGCTAAGCTGGTGGCCATACAGGTTTGCTGACAACCCATCTCTGGGTGTCACACAACAAACAAAGACACAATCAAAATGCATTCATTGAATCTCTAACAATCTGTCCTCAAGTGAGTACCTGATTTAATCCACAGATAAGAGGATCTCAATGAGCCAATTTGTAGGAATGTTAAAGGTTTGGTTGGACCTTTTCCAACTCACAAGAAACTCCCTCAAAATCGCATTCCAATCACTTGACTTCATCTGTGGATTCCCTGTAGCTCAGGGGGTTAGACCCCTCGCCTCGCACCCCACAGCCCCTGTAGCTCAGGGGTTAGACCCCTCGCCTCGCACCCCACAGCCCTGTAGCTCAGGGGTTAGACCCCTCGCCTCGCACCCCACAGCCCCTGTAGCTCAGGGGTTAGACCCCCTCTCCCCCCACCCCACAGCCCCTGTAGCTCAGGGGTTAGACCCCTCGCCTCGCACCCCACAGCCCCTGTAGCTCAGGGGTTAGACCCCTCGCCTCGCACCCCACAGCCCCTGTAGCTCAGGGGTTAGACCCCTCGCCTCGCACCCCACAGCCCCTGTAGCTCAGGGGTTAGACCCCTCGCCTCGCACCCCACAGCCCCTGTAGCTCAGGGGTTAGACCCCTCGCCTCGCACCCCACAGCCCCTGTAGCTCAGGGGTTAGACCCCTCCCTCGCACCCCACAGCCCCTGTAGCTCAGGGGTTAGACCCCTCCCCCCACCCCACAGCCCCTGTAGCTCAGGGGTTAGACCCCTCGCCCCCCACCCCACAGCCCCTGTAGCTCAGGGGTTAGACCCCTCGCCTCGCACCCCACAGCCCCTGTAGCTCAGGGTTAGACCCCTCCTCGCACCCCACAGCCCCTGTAGCTCAGGGGTTAGACCCCTCCCTCGCACCCCACAGCCCCTGTAGCTCAGGGGTTAGACCCCTCCCCTCGCACCCCACAGCCCCTGTAGCTCAGGGGTTAGACCCCTCCCTCGCACCCCACAGCCCCTGTAGCTCAGGGGTTAGACCCCTCGCCTCGCACCCCACAGCCCCTGTAGCTCAGGGGTTAGACCCCTCCCCTCGCACCCCACAGCCCCTGTAGCTCAGGGGTTAGACCCCTCCCTCGACCCCACAGCCCCTGTAGCTCAGGGGTTAGACCCCTCGCCTCGCACCCCACAGCCCCTGTAGCTCAGGGGTTAGACCCTCCCCCCACCCACAGCCCCTGTAGCTCAGGGGTTAGACCCCCCCCCACCCACAGCCCCTGTAGCTCAGGGGTTAGACCCTCCCTCGCACCCACAGCCCCTGTAGCTCAGGGGTTAGACCCTTCCTCGCACCCCACAGCCCCTGTAGCTCAGGGGTTAGACCCCTCCTCGCACCCCACAGCCCCTGTAGCTCAGGGGTTAGACCCCTCCCCTCGCACCCCACAGCCCCTGTAGCTCAGGGGTTAGACCCCTCCCCTCGCACCCCACAGCCCCTGTAGCTCAGGGGTTAGACCCCTCCTCGCACCCCACAGCCCCTGTAGCTCAGGGGTTAGACCCCTCCCCTCGCACCCCACAGCCCCTGTAGCTTAGGGGTTAGACCCCTCCTCGCACCCCACAGCCCCTGTAGCTCAGGGGTTAGACCCCTCACCTCGCAAGCCAGACGACCCGGGTTCAATGCCCAGGCAGGTCAGGTCAGGGCGAAACCTTAGGCAAGTTTCCTTACTCCCCCAACACACACACGCTCACACACACACACACACACAGACAAGCGACATAATGATATATTTACGTCTTCGAGGCATCGCAAAGTGCTTCACAGAATATAGTGTAAAGTGTAGTGACTGTATATTATGTGGGCAAAACTGGCAGCCAATTATGCACAGCAGTGTCCCACAAGCGTGGATTGACTGACCAAATTTTTTAAAATATAAAATGGATTATTACCCCCGGAAAGCGCTCCGCTAATCGACTAACAACCGAGTTTCTACTTACAGCTGGAAAACAGAGCCGTGTGTGTGTGTGTGTGTATATATATATATATATATAAGAAAACTTGCCTAACGTGTTCCCCTGACCTGACCTGACTCACCCGAGAATCGAACCCGGGACTCCACAACAATAATGTACGACTGTAAAAATTGTCCGCCTTCCCAACCCCTCACTCCACGGGCTGCAGATAATCCAGAACTAACTCCGCAGCCCGTGTCCTCTCCCGCACCAAACTCCGTGACCCCATCTCCCCCACTCTCGCCCGACTCCATTGGCTCCCTATCCTTCAGAGGATCCAGTTCAAGATCCTGGTCCTCACCTACAAAGCCCTCCGTGGCCTCGCCCCACCCTACCTCTGCCACCTCCTCACCCCCTACCAACTCGCCCGCTCCCTCCGCTCAGCCGGTTCTGGTCGGCTCCACGTCCCCCGACCCACCCGCCCCACCATTGGCGGGAGAGCGTTCAGCCACTCTGCCCCCAACCTCTGGAATTCGTCCCCAATCACTCCGCCTCACCCCCTCCTTAGCCTCCTTCAAGTCCCGCCTCGAGACCCTCCTCTTCGACCATGCCATCAGCCACCCCCCCTTCCCCTCCCTTCCCTTCTCCCCCCCCCCCCCCCCCACCCCCGACCCCAGCTCGGGGTCTGAAATGCTGTACACTGTCCAGCGCCTTGGGACATCCTCCCGTGAAAGGCGCTCTACAAATGTAATCCTGGTGTTGTAAAAACCTGACATGCTTAAATAACAATAATAATAATAATAACAATAATTATAAAAACTTGCCTTTGGTACCGTCAAGGAAAGGAAACATCCTATCGGATAATGATGTTGTAGAGAGAGAGAAACAGGAGCAACTCAGCCAGATAGGAGATCGTATCAGGAGAGGTACAACAACAACAACAACTTGCACTTCTATAGCCACTCACAAAGTCCTGCATCCCAGAGAGCTTTACATACAGACTCAGGATAGGCAGGTTGATAGAAAAGGTGGATTAACTTAATCCAAGTAATGAATCAGTGCATCTGGTGAGACAGAGACCGTTAGGTCAAAGCGACTTGACGCATTCCTAGATCGATCGCTAAACTCCACTCAGTTAGCTGCCGTGTTTCGTTCCCCCAAAACAGGCAGTCACTACGCTTTACAGTTCATCCCGTGAAGCGCTTTGCGAGGTCTCGACGACACGGTAAGGAGGTGCATCGAAAGCTTGGTTTGCGCGATGAAAAATAATCCTAGCCTTTGAGACAGCGCCTTAGCACATCGTGGAGGCTTCGCAGGATATACTGCAAAGTGTAGTGACTGTGTGTTTTGTGGAAGCGAAATGCGGCAGCACAGCAGTTTTACAGTGTTTATAGATGTAAGATTTAGATTCACCTTTGGCATCGGAGGCTGATTCTGTGTAACTAAATCGATAAGATTAGCAGATTTTATATATCTAGACGGGGAGTCCTGTAGCTCAGCGGTTAGAGCACTCGCCTCGCAAGCGCGAGGACTTGGGTTCGATTCCTGGGCAGGGTGAAATGTTGGGTAAGTTTCCTTACTCCACTCACACCTCCGTTTACTGAGCAGGAAGTGGGAACCCGCTCGTGAGTCAATTTGGGGATCGCTTTCCGGGGTTCGGAATTCCCTCCAAAAAAAAAATAACGATATTAATTTCACCCACAAAATATACAGTCAATTCACTTTACCGTGAAAGGCTTTGAGACGTCTCGAAGACGTGATAAGGAGCTAAATCAAAAGCAAGGACTATTATTATCAATATTCTATAATTTGGTCATTCAGTCCACGGCTGTTTGTGGGGACGTCGCTGGGCGCAATTGGCTGCCGCATTTCGCCCGCAAAACACACAGTCACCACACTTTACAGTGTATCCCGTGAAGCACTTTGAGACATCTCGATGACATGACAAGGCACTGGGTCGTGAAATGCAGGGATTATTAATAATATTATTATCATTCAGTGAAAAAGGGATTATTAATAATATTATTATCATTCAGTGAAAAAAATTGCAGCAAAAATCATAATTTTTTTGACATATACATAACAGAATAAATGATAAGAAAAAAAATTGAGACGTCTCCAAAGACGTGATAAGGAGCTAAGTCAAAAAATTGAATAAAAAAAAGAAATAAATATAACATAATAAATAATAATACTAAAAATAGTTCTTTGCAAACGCCGCGGAGTTCAGAAGTGCTCATTGATTTCTCTCTCGGTAGGTAATGGAGTTGGGACTTACCAGAGGGCATGTCTGTCAAGGGCAGCTGTGATCTACAGCGGAGAAGAAGCTTTTATAAGCGTGTGGTTCTCTGGTCTGCCTCCTCATCAACCAATCCACTACCAACAGGTAAGAGGATTCCTCAGAGCCCCAAGAGGGCGCCTTCTGCACTTCATCTCTTGTTATTTTCTAGGAAATATAATAATAATAATCCTCACATTTGATGATAATAATTCCTCTTCGAGACGTCTCAAAGCGCTTCACAGAAACTGCAGTGACTGTAGATTCTACGGGCCAATTGCGCACAGCAACGTCTCCACAAACAACAACAGCAACAACAACAAGACTCCCATTTCTAGAGCGCCTTTCACGTCGGGAGGACGTGGGTTGAGTGACTCAATTATCAAATGCAAAGATTATTATTATTATTATTATAAACCACCAAGCTACACGATTTTATACTTAACGATAATTGTTTGCGAGTTGCCCTGACTGCACTGTAACAATTCCAGTCCTCCTGGGCTTGTGTTTGTATTTTAATTATCAAACCTCTCATCGGTTTCTTATTTTTAATGTGCTTTGTTTGCCCCATTTTTTGGGGGGGTTTTGCTTACTTTAATAAGTAGGAATTCTAGGAACGGAAGAAGGTGGGGTGGAGGTAGAAGCCAAGAGGTTTGGGCAAAGTGAAACACACCCTATAATTTGGGACGTAACATTATTGCAAGCGACTGCCCAGGGGGGAAAAAAAATATCAAGAAAATCCTAATAATTTGGTCACGCAATCCATGACTTGTTTGCGGGACGTTACGGTCGAAGAGGAAAGTTTTCAGGCGGGACTCGAAAGAGGGGAGAGAGAGAGAGATAGGGGCAAGGCGGAGAGACCGAGGGAGAGCGTTGTCGAGTTTGGGGGCAAAGTGTGGGGCGGAGGGCGGGAGGGACGAGGAGGAGGCTGGTGCCAGTCGAGCGGAGGGTGGTAGATTGGCGAGTGAGGAGGTCAGAGATGGAGGTCCCAGGGAGTGACGGGATTTGAACACGAGAGCGAGGATTTCGACATCGAATCCTGAGATGTCTCGAAGACGTGATAAGGCGCCGTATCAAATGCAAGACTTATTATTAATATAAGCGACTGCCAGGAAGGTGGAGGGCAAACTGGATGGTCCTTGATCCTTTTATACCTAGAAAATCCCTGTGCATTTAGACAGACAGGCCATCAATCTGCTGACTCATTTTTCCCAGAAAGCGTTCTAACTAGAGCTATCTAAAAATTCTGAATATTTTCTCTCTCTCTCTCTCTCTCTCTCCCCGGAGGGACACACCCTGCTGACAAAATTCCAGGGGGGATTAGGCGCAGGTTTGGCAAGGCTTTGTTGGGATGGGAGCCCAGAGTGTGCGTTGGCGTAACCGCTGGAGCCAACCAGCCGAGCGGAGGGTGGATTGGGGAGCGAGGGGGTCGGAGAGGTAGGGAGCTACCAGGGAGTGAAGGGATTTGAACACGAGGGCGAGGATCTTGAAGACGATCCGTTCTTAAATCTCTAATAATAATAATAATAATAATATTTAAGCCTGGCATTTGACCCGGCGCCCTATCACGTCGAAGAGACGTCTCAAAGCGCTTCACAGGATACATTGCAAAGTGTAGTGACTATGTGTTTTGTGGGCGAAAGGCGGCAGCCAATCGCGCCCAGCGACGTCCCCACAAACAGCCGTGGGTTGTGTAACCAATTTTTTTTTTTTTGAAGGGGTTGTTGTTACCTCTGGAAAGCGATCCCGCCAATCATCTAACAAGTGGTTTCCTACTTACTGCTGGTAAACGGAGGAGTGTGTGTGGATTAGCGAAACTTGCCTCAGGTTTCACCCCGACCCGACCCACCCGGGAAGCGAACCTGGGTCCCTTCGCTTGCTTGCGAGGCGAGCGCTCTTATCAACCACCCTACAGGACTCCTTGTCACATCGTCGCGACGTCTCAAAGCGCCTCGCAGAACAATCTCAAGTGAAATTGACTGCATTTAGTGGCTGAATTGTCTATTAATGTGTGGTTAACACTCAGGCCTGTATTACAACTACAAGATCAGCTCTGAAAAGCTTTTGACACTTAAGTAAGAAATGTAATCATACTTGTTAATCCCACGCACAAAGCACCGCCCATGGCAAACAGTTCCGAGCAACTTTGTTCAAATACAACCTTTAGTTAATTTATATTATCAAAGAAGCTTAAGACAGGTTCAGGAACGCCCCAGTTCGAACAAATAATTTATTTGATCGCTCCTTTAAATTTCGCAGCTGTTTGTTACGCTAAACTTTGATGGAAAAGTCTCTCTAATCATAATAATTATAATAATGGAGCTAAACCAGTATCGATTTAAATCACACCAATGGAGTCGTTCCATATTGGCCCTCAAAGCTCTCGCCAGCTCCCACCCAAAGCTCAGGTGTCCAGCAAAGATTCTTAAGCACGCAACCCCCCCCCCCCCCCCCTTGTAGCTCAGGGGTTAGAGCTCTCGCCTCGCAGGGCAAAACTCCTTCAACCCCTCTGCCTTGCCCACTCTCTCTCCTTCAACCCCTCTGCCTTGCCCCCTCTCTCCTTCAACCCCTCTGCCTTGCCCACTCTCTCTCCTTCAACCCCTCTGCCTTGCCCACTCTCTCCTTCAACCCCTTTGCCTTGCCCACTCTTTCCTTCAACCCCTCTGCCTTGCCCACTCTCTCTCTCAACCCCTCCCCACTGGCCCCCACTCTCTCTCTCGCTCAACCCCACCGCTTTACCCCCTCTCTCCCTCAATTCCTCCACCTTGTCCCCTCTCTCCTCTTTCCCTGTGTCCTTCAACCCCTCTGCCTTGCCCCCACCTCTTTCTCTCTCTCTCTCTCTCTCAACCCCTCTGCCTTTTTGTCCCCCCCCCTCTCTCTCAACCCCTGCGTAGTTGACACTAAATGTTTTTTTATTGGTAGGTTTCCACTACATTCCTGCACAGACACAATAGCAGCTGGTATTTGGGTGGCTGTTATTCTCTAAGCTGTGTTTGTACAGAAGGAGTTAGAGAAGTACTCAATCATGTCCATCTTGATATGTTGGTGTTTAAATCACTCCAGACTACAATCATTTGCAACCAGAAAACTGGCTTGACCTGTGAGGCAGCTCCAACACCTTACCAGTGGATTTTTAAGTTGACGGACCACTCCTATACTTTGTCAAATAACTTCATCGCTTCAGGGATTTTCAATAGCCTCGGACCAGATTCCTAGAACTGGCACGCACCAACATCCACCCTCTCACCTGCTAATCATAGAGCTTCACAGCATGGAAGGAGGCCATTCGGCCCATCGTGTCTGTGCCAGAAAAGAGCTATCCCGCCAGTGAGAATAGTTTCTCCTTGTTCACCCCATCGAATCCCCTCATCACTCTGAAAACTTAATTAAGTCTCTTTTCTTAACCTTCTCTGCTCCGAGAAGAATGGTAATAATAATAATAATAATAATAATAAAAATAATAATTTTGTGGGGACGGCGCCGTCCCCACAAAACCGTTGAGAGTTTATCCGATAGAATCAGGAAAGTGTCAAGATGCGGGGTGGCAGATAAGACAATTCCTCATTTTGAGGGGAGAGCAGGAAAGTGCTGGGCTGAAAGATAAATAACCTTTGAGGCAATAGACGCCAACAGGACATTGCAACCTCATTGCAGTGGTCCCAATACTAACCCCTGGGGGACACCACTACACACTCGCCTCCAGTCAGAAAAGCTACCGTTCACCACCACTCTCTGCTCTCAGCGAGTTCTGTATCCACGCTCACTGTGCCTTTAATACCGTGGGGCTTCTGTTTTGCTCTTATGTGGCACTTTATCAAACACCTTTTGGAAATTCCCATATAAACAACAACAGCAACAAAAAGATTCCATTTATTGAGCGCCTTTCACGTCGGGAGGACGTCCCAAGGCGCTGTACAGTTGGGTCAGGACCCGAGCATTGGGGGGAAATGGTCAGGGTGAGCGGAGGGAACGAGGAGGGGGTAGAGAGTCGAGAGAGGAGCTGAAGGCACGGTCAAAGAGAAACTACATATAAATACATATAAACTACATCAACTGCTCTACCTTCATCCACCCTCTCCGTTACTTCACCAAAAAATCTCTTATCAGGTTTGTGAGACATGATTTGCCTTTGACAAACCCGGGTTGACTGTCCTTTATTAACCCATCGTTTTCTAAGCGAAAATTTATTTCGTCCCGGATTACACTCTCTAAAAGCTTCCCCACGACTGACGTTAGGCCGACTGGCCGGAAGTTCCCGGGTTTATCCTTCTCCTTTTGTACAGGGGAGTGACATTTGCAGCCCTCCAGTCCTCTGTCAACCCCGGTGTCCAAGGAGGATTGAAAGATTGTGGCCAGAGCCTCCGCTATTTCCACCCTCGCATCCCATCCGGACCGGGTGACTTGTCTACCTTGAGCACCAACAGCCTTTTTAGTCCCTCCTCTCGGTTTATTCTTATCTTCTCCAATTTCTCTCCCCTCTGCCTCCACAGGAAGATTTCCCCTTTGGTCCCTAATTGGCCCCACCCGACTTTGACTAACCTTTTATTCTTTGTAAGCTTATAAAATACCTTAAGGCTCCCTTTTGTGTTACTCATTAAGCTTTTCTGACACCATCTCTTTGTCCCTCTTATTTCCTTCTTCAGTTCTCTGTACTTTCTATATTCTATTTGATTATCTTCTGTACTTTGGACCTGGCGTTTCACCAATAAACCTCCTTTCTCTGTTCTTTTTTTTAATTTTAATCCCAATTTCCTTAGTGATCCGGGGAGGTTTGGATGCCCTCCTCTCCCATTTGTGGGAATGTATTTGTTCTGTCCCCGAACTATCTGCTCCTTGAAGGCCTTCCCATTGCTCGTGAGCTGTTTTACCTGCCAATCTTTCTTTCCAGTCCACCTTGGCCAGGTCCCTGTTTCACTCGCTGAAATTAGCCTCGTCCAGTTGAGTATCCTCACCCTTGATGGCTCCTTGTCCCTGTCCGTAAGTACTCTAAGGATAATCAAAGTTCCCCCATTATCACTACTCTATTGGTTTCCGAAATCATCACATACTCCAAGACAGACTGAGTCTGCTCTGCATTTCTCCCCCCACCGTCTAATCCTCCTTATTCTGGATTACTCCTTATGACATTGCTATTGGTCTCTCCCAGCCCTCTGTGTGACTTGCTTGTTCTCATGCTACATCCTGATACCCTTCACCCCCCAAAGTTAGTTTAAACCCTTCCCCACAGCACTCGTTAATCTCCCTGTGAGGTCCTTGATCCCAACCCCGTTCAGCTGTAACCCATTCTCTTTATACAGGTCCCATCTGCCCCAGAACTGGTCGGTCCCAATGATCCAGGAACCCAAACCCTCCTTTCTGCACCATTTCTCCAGCCGTGCATTAATGTGTTTGATGTGCTGTTTTGATGCTCACTTGCACGAGGCACTGGGAGTAATCCAGAGCTCACCACCTTTGAGGCCCTCCTCTTTAGCTTATTCCCGAGCTTCTGATACGCTCCCCGTGGGAGAGTTCTTTTCCCCCTACCTGGCACCGGGGAGGCAACGTTTGTGGGGTGTCGCTGGGCGCAATTGGCTGCCCACAAAACATACAGTCACTACGCTTTACAGCGTTTCCCGTGAAGCGCTTTCAGATGTCTCAAAGACGTGATGAGCTGCCTCCGCCCTCTCTCTCTCTCTCTCTCTCTCTCTCTCTCCCCCTGGCTCGGGGGTCAGATTCCACCACTGCCCACCTGTAGGACCCTGTGCAAATGCAAGTTGTTGTTGATGTCGTGGATCAATGAAGGATAAAGGTTCCTTATTGTGCTGAGAGGTTGCAATGTCCTGTTGGTGTTTATTGCCTCAAAGGTTATTTATCTTTCAGCCCAGCACTTTCCTGCTCGCCCCTCAAAATGAGGAATTGTCTTATCTGCCACCCCGCATCTTGACACTTTTGCTGATTCTATCGGGTAAACTCTCAACGGTTTTGTGGGGACGTCGCCGGGCGCAATCGGCTGCCGCGTTTCGCCCACAAAACACACAGTCATCACACTTTACACCGTATCCCGTGAAGCGCTTTGAGACGTCTCGATGGCGTGATAAGGCGCCGGAGGGTCGAACGCCAGGATTATTATTATTATTATTATTATTATTATTACCATTCTCCTCGGAGCAGAGAAGGTTAAGAAAAGAGACTTAATTAAGTTTTCAGAGTGATGAGGGGATTCGATGGGGTGAACAAGGAGAAGCTATTCTCACTGGCGGGCGGGTCGGGGACCCGAGGACACCGATATCAAATGGTTGTTTAAAGAAACGGAGGGGAGGGGAGGAGAAATGTCTTCACACAGCGAGTTCTTGGGATCTGGAAGGCGTTGCCTGAAAGGGCGGTGGAAGCCAATTCGATAAGAACGTTTAAGAGAGAAGCAGATAATTATTTGGGGAGGACAAGTTTGCAGAGCTGTGGGGAGAGAGCGGGGGAGTGGGGTTATGTATCTGTGTGAGTGTGTGTCTGTGAGTGTGTGTCTGTCTGTGTGTGTCTGTGTGTGTCTGTCTGTGTGTGAGTGTGTGTCTGTGTGAATGTGTGTCTGTGTGTGTGTGAGTGTGTGTCTGTGTGAGTGTGTGTCTGTGTGTGTCTGTGTGAGTGTGTGTCTGTGTGTGTCTGTGTCTGTGTGAGTGTGTGTCTGTGTGTGTCTATCTGTGTGAGTGTGTGTGTGTGTGAGTGTCTGTGTGTGTGTGTCTGTGTGAGTGTGTGTCTGTGTCTGTGTGAGTGTGTGTCTGTGTGTGTCTGTGTCTGTGTGTGTGTGTCTGTGTGTGTCTGTGTCTGTGTGTGTCTGTGTGTGTGTGTGTCTGTGTGTGTGTCTGTGTGAGTGTGTGTCTGTGTGTGTGTCTGTGTCTGTGTGAGTGTGTGTCTGTGAGTGTGTGTCTGTGTGAGTGTGTGTCTGTGTGTGTGTGTGTGTCTGTGTGTGTCTGTGTGCGTGGAGCAAGGAAACACGTTTCGCCCTGACTGGGAATTGAGTCCAGTTCCTCTCAGTGAACGCACACACGCGGGCACACAGTCAGACAGACAAACACACACACACACACACACAGACTGCGCTGACACGGACACATACTCAGACACGCACAGTGTGCGCGTGTGTCAGAATGTCTGTGTGTCTGAGTGTGTCTGAGTGTGCGTGTGTGCGTGTGCGTGAGGCTGTTAAGTGGGGTTTTGCTGCTTCACTTAGCCCCGAGGTGTGAGTTTAACCTCTCAGTTTAGCCTATTGACAGGAAGTCTGTGACGTCTTCGGTGAATGGTCACTAGGGCTGGCGCTCATTAACCCTTTCACGCACACGTTTTAAAATCCCCTTCGCCCCCCTGGCATCTCCCTCCCTACCTCTCCGAACTGCTTACCCCCCCCGCAACCCTTCCCGTGTGGCCGCGTGTGTGAGCGTGTGTGTCTGTGTGTGTCTGTGTGTGTGTGTGTTCGATTAAATCTCCCCTGAACCTTCTCTTGCTCCGAGGAGAATAATCCCAGTCCCTCGGGCCTCTCCTCGTGCCTGAAGTCCTTCGTTCCTGGTCAAATGGCACCCGGGATGATCAATGGGAACTTCTCAAACGGTCGGGTCAGGGCAAAACATTGGGCAAGTTTCCCCACACACACCCACACGCGTGTTCCCCGGCAGTCAGTAGGAATCGCTTGTCAGGCGATCGATTGGGGGATCACTTTCCGGGGGTAATAATCCCCTCGAAACAATAATAATTCGGTGGCTTCAACCCCCGGCTGTTTGTGGGGACGTCTGTGGGCGCGATCGGCTGCCGCGTTCGGCCCCCGCCCCCCCCCACCAAAACGCACAGTCACTACACTTTACGGCGTGTCCCGTGAAGCGCTTTGAGACGTCTCGACGACGCGATCGGGCGCCGGGTCCAATGGAAGGATTGTTATCGTAATAATCCACAGCCTTTTTTGGGGGAGGGAGGGAGACGGTTCCAGATTTCCGCCACCCCTCGCGCTTGCGTGTAATTTGTGCGTGTTTTGTGCGCGCGTGTGCACGCGTGTGCACGCGTGTGCGTGGTTTGTGTGTAGACTACATTTTGTGGGAGAAACGTGGCAGCCAATTGCGCACAACAGTGTCCCACAAACAGCCGTGGATTGAAGTAACCGATTTTGTTATTGTGTGGTTTTATTCTTGAGGGATTACTATCAGATGTGTGCGCGAGTCTGTGTGTGTGTGTGTGTGCGTGTGCGTGCGCGTGTGCGCGTGTTGAGCAAGGAAACTTGCCCAAGTCCTCATCCAGCCCTGACCGGCCGCGATACCGAACCCAGGCCCCCTCTCGCCGGCGAGGTGAGGGCTCGGACCCCCCTGAGCTACAGGCAACACAGCCTGACCATCAGCTCAGTGAGTTAAGTTCCACATCAAACGTCACTCAAGCCGCCTCACACTTCCTCAAGTCGAGTTCCTTTCTGTCAGTGTGCCAGAGACTACAGACGGACGGACGGACGGACTGATTGCCTACGTGCCTCGCAAACTCGCCCCAGAAAATGGGGAGACAGACCTCCTCCGTGCACCTGCTGGCTTTTTCCGTTCTGGTTGGTAAGTGGGGTCTCTTCGCCGTGGTGTTTAATGGGGGCTGTTACTCACGATCCCGGGGTTTGACCCCGGCGCCCCGATCGCGTCGTCGAGACGTCTCAAAGCGCTCCACGCGGTAAAGTGTAGTGACTGTGCGTGCGTTTTGGGGGCCGGACGCGGCAGTCGATGGCGCCCGGCGACGTCCCCACAAACAGCCGTGGGTTGAAGTGACCGAATTCTGACTGTTTTGAAGGGATTATTACCCCCGGAAAAGTGACTCCCTCATCCGTGTGTGTGTGTGTGTGTGTGTGTGTGTGTGAGTGTGTATGTCTGTGTGTGCGTGTCTGTGTGCGTGTCCGTGTCTGTGTGCGTGGAGTAAGGAAATTTGTCTTTCGTCCTGGCCTGACCCGCCCAGAAATCGAACCCAGGTCCTCTCGCTTGTGAGGCGAGGGGTCTAACCCCTGAGCTACAGTCCTCATTCTAACCTCGGTTTATACTTGTGGCTTTGTTGGTGATATTTTTTTGTGGGGGTTTGAAAAATAATGAGAAATTAGCCTGGGGCTAGAGACAGAGAAGGGATTAATACCCCCGGAAAGTGATCCCCCAATCGACTAACTGCTGATAAACAAGTGGTGTGTGTCTGTGTGGGTATGGAGTAATGAAACTGGTCTAAGGTTTCGCCATATCCGTTCCCACCCGGGAATTGAACCCTGGCTTACGAGGCGAGGGGTCTAACCCCTGAGCTACAGGGGCTGTGGGGTGGGGGGCGAGGGGGTCTAACCCCTGAGCTACAGGGGCTGTGGGGTGGGGGGTGAGGGGGTCTAACCCCTGAGCTACAGGGGCTGTGGGGTGGGGGGCGAGGGGTCTAACCCCTGAGCTACAGGGGCTGTGGGGTGGGGGCGAGGAGGGGGTCTAACCCCTGAGCTACAGGGGCTGTGGGGTGGGTGCGAGGGGTCTAACCCCTGAGCTACAGGGGCTGTGGGGTGCGAGGGGGGGGTCTAACCCCTGAGCTACAGGGGCTGTGGGGTGGGGGGCGAGTGGTCTAACCCCCTGAGCTACAGGACTGTAAATGGGTGGTGCGTTGTCCGGTGGTTTCCAGCTGCCTAAACGGTTGTTCTGTTTGTGTGTAACCCCTTTTCTGCTAAAACGAGGAACTGTCCATTTTCTCGCACACAAGTCCTGATTGTGTTGATAATTTCTTCACTCTTGTCTTCCCCAATA